CTTCCAGGGCTTAAGGGCTAACTTCTATTAGCACCTTACTGTGCAAGCAAATTTTACAGAAATCTCTGGGTTAAGAAATTTGGCTTCATTGTATCCTTTGTTATTTTAAATATATCAAGATATTTTAATTAAAAGTTTTTACCCCTTTGAACCAATTTTATATAGTATAATTTGTACCTATTTTGGTGGTTTTTGTCTTTATAGTAAATAAAAGTTTTTGAACAAATTTTGTCCTTTGCCTATTGTATGTAAATATGTTCAGTTTACTGATGTGAATAAAATATTTCTGGTACACTTCACTGTTTATATACAATTTCATATGCAACACTTCATATATCAAGACTTAGTTTCCAATATTAAATGACACATGAATGAGTAGTAGCTGATATACATAATCTTAGGTGTATCAATAAAGAATGCTTAGATAAAAGGCAGCAACAAACACACTTTTTTTTAATTGATAATAAAGGTAGAAACTTCTCTTACAACACCACTGTATCTATGACCCTCACTTGCTTATGCCCTTAGATCAAACATTAAATGTCTAAATTTTGCATTACTGCAAATAGAACTATTAAATACCAAGTCAGGTGAGCTGATTTGGTTAGATTAATTCTGGAGTTGTTGAGGTGTATCTTGGAAGTTAATCTGCTATATTTCATGTTTTCAGTGAAATGATTCTGTTGCTTGTGATTTAAGTAGCAAACATAAGCCTTTCCTTATTCAGGCAATCTGAATATGTATTGCAAAGCTAGGGCTTGTTTCAGTTGCTTGTCTTTCTCCTGATTTTGATTTTAAAATTAATCTTTTGATAGTTGAAAATAAGGTTCATGTGTTCTGTAGCCTTTTTTGTGACTACTAAATTCTATATTTTGAAGGATCATTCTCTTTATAGTCTCCATTACTTCTGTGACTTTCTGCAAATAGAGATGAACTTATCAATTCACCAGCAAAAATTGGCAGCAGAAATCTTTGGATAAATTCTAATATCTGATTTTTAAAATCAGGAAAATGTACTAACTGAAATGTCAAGAAGGAAAATATATGACAAGGATTAAATCAAAGATAAATTGATTTAGCATAGAACTTCTGAATCTTAGAGTACTGTGTGGTGATTATAGTGTTGCAGTCTCCTTTTTAGGAACAGAGGATGGTGGAGATCACCTGTCCCCAGCAGCTGGCAGTAAATATCAAAGACACCTACTTATAGAATCAAATGGCTTCATTTGCAAAGTGCACGTTCAGCTCTTCTGCAGGCAAAGAGTAAGCTATGCCCATGTTTGATTTCTCTGATGGGAACAAAGTTACATTCAGTGTTCTACGTGATGGTCATACGTTGAAGTCTGGCAGTGTTTCGTCTTTGCAAGTTTGCATGGAAAGGTAATGATTGCTTCCAGAATACGTTGGCGTGTCATGAGGATCGTATATTTCCTCTTCATCACCTGAGTGGGCAACTTGTGTGCGTGGCTGTTCTGATGTGATGCTGCCCACCTCCCGAGACACTATTTCCCTTACTAACTTTTCTCTTGTTGCTTAGTCTTCCTTGCTGAGCTGAACCACGAATGTGACAGTCTTGCTTTTAAGAGCCACAGTATGCATATATTGTGGCAAATGTGCAGGTTGTTTCCTCGTTACGGTATACAGCTGCTGAAATCCAGAATTTGACTTGTGAATTGAGACCTTTCTTCCCTGTCATTACCAAGAAAGTCCAGAAGATGGCAGAAAAGCATTTTGAGCCAGCCACTGTGCTGCTGTTTCCTTTTGTTTTCCTCAGTTATTTCAGTTTGCAATATATCATCGCTCAGTTCCTGTTCTCAGAAAAGATGTGCAAAGTCAACAATAGAATTAAAGTGAATACGGAGGAAATCAAGAGGCAATTTATAAACATGTGCAAGGATCTAAGATGGGAAGCTAATTCTGTTTGTTTCATTGCTGCCTCACAAAATCCCAAATTCTTGGCAAGAGTTCAGGTCCTGACATAGCAGTGTCAGCCTTGACAGCAGTTTGAGGTCTGATTTCTCTCTTCACCCCAAAACCAGTTCTCAAACACTGGGTCTATACGGTTCTCTTTTAAACGAGTTTCCTGAGAAAGTAAGGTACATGCTGTCACATTCTGTCTCATTTTCCCAATAACTTTTGACTTGATTGGCAGATTTTAACTAAAACTGCAGGTAAGGAGCAGCATCCAAAGACAGAAGTTTTATGAAGGTAGGTACCCAAGCAGAGAAGGGAGAACCGTGGCCAAGGAGATAACATTACCTTTAACTTGGTATCTCCTAACAATGATTTGTAAAGAACGATTTGGGGGCCTTTCTTCGTTTTTGAAGATCAATTGATGATTGTTTTCTTCACTAGGTTTTTTTGTTTGTTTGTTTATTTCACAGACAATTGATGGTAGAATGTGGCACCAAAAGAGCTTCTGCCCCCACCCCATGTGCATTGGAGTTGCAAATGCTCATGATGTGTGATATATCCCGTCTGTCTGGCTTGTTAAGTTTGCAGTTAAGGCTGCAAGTATGCACCCATGGGACCTGAGTTTTCTTTTCCAGTTCCTGCAGCTCTCCCTTTTGCGGTGCCAATACACCATGCCTGCTGACCTCATGGCTGCGCTATTGCTTGGTTTTACACGCTGCGGGCGACCGAGCGCCGGCCCAGCCGCGGGTTACGGCCGCAACGCGCGGCCTCCTCGAGCCCCCCACCAGCCAATGGCAGGGGCGCCCCGCGGGCGGGCCGGCGG